ATTACCACACAACACAGTAGTTGTCATCCTCTCTTCATCTATACTATATAATTGTCATTACTTTTTCATCAAGACACTCGCCACACTAAATCTCTTCGAAAATCAGATTAGAGAGGTTGGAGCACAACATTTGGCGAATACATTACAACATTATACGGTGATTGCCATTCTGCTTCCATCAATACTATGACTTTCCGATCACTTTTCCATGTAGACACTCACCACGCTAAGCCTTAGTGTATTTGAAATCGGAAATGACGCACTACTCAAAATTTATGAAATTATTAAACACAATGGAAGCGGAAGAGAACCGTAAATGTTAATGTGAAATATATTTGATGACGATTGTGTAGCTAGGAATGATTGTATGGATATTTTTTTGCGCTGTAATTGTCACTGAAACAATAAATAAAACTATTTGTTTTCAAAGTTAATATGTATTGTGGTGATGTTTGCTTCTCAGCTTCACTATGCCATGATGGAGATGATAGTGCGCTGAAAAAAATAAAAGAGTTTTTTTCGAGCTATTTTGTTACTTTGTGATATATACAAAACAATCTTGAGGTTCTATAGAGCAGTAGTAAAACTCTAAAAGGTTTATAGGACGGTGGCAATACTCTCAAAGATCCTTTTCTGTAACATTAGAAGATTAAAGGCTCTCTATGATGATTAGAAAACTCTGAGAAGTTTTTTTCAGTAATGCTAAATCATAAAATGTGTAATTTCGTTAGATTTTCTTTCTTCTACGAGTAAACCCTATCGCAGATTTGGACTCAAATATGAAAAGATTTTGTTTGATTATCTTTTTCATTCATAATCTATCATTAGTTACATTTTTAGCTGTAAAACATATAATGGAGGAAAGTGGCTCGTAACTTTTGCTTTTTAATGCAATGCGAAGCAAAGGGTTTCTGTAATCTTTCGTATGAAAGTGCAACTGATGATAAATTTGATTTGATTCAAGAATAATCGTGGATATTCAGAAACCTATGAAAACCTTGAAATTGCCATTTCGTAGCTGAGCGAAACTCGAGTACCATCTAGTCTTAATTAAATAACATCTTTATTTTAGATCGATCTGTTAATTATTTCTTCCTTGAATGAGAGAATTTTCACTATACATCACAAACATTAGCATTCGATTAATTTCTTTATTCCCGCATTATTATTCTTTCTTTAATTAATAATAAAATTGCGCTTGATATATTAAATTTATACTTGTAAAAATGATAATCGAAAATATTCAACAATATTTTCCTACTTATCAAACAAATAAAGTAATAAATTATTTAATATGTAAAATGGAATATATTTCTTTGAAATACAGAATAATAATGAAGCAGCTGGTGATTCGATACATAGAATAAAAACTAAATTTTTAACTGGTAATCATAGTGACATATATAATGAACAAAAATATTGATTATTTCTCTATAAAGATGAAACAAGTCATTTACTTGATGATATATTGAATCATCCATTGTCGATTGATTATTTTAATGTCTATCTATCATTACCTGTACGTATTGTACAGAGTTCTTTTTCCCTATATAGAAGAATGAATTCAGATATTTGGACAACGTGTTCTTTATCATCGTACAACTCATCAATTTGATTTTGATCCACCATCATTAACGCATCGGCAGGCAAGCATATTTCAACATCCTGATCATTATCTTAATATATATATACTTAGGAACAGATAAATAAAGAAACGAAGCAATGGTTAATACATTACCGATTAAATAATTATATTCATACAGATATTTATATTGAAAGTCTTCTTGCTTTATTACTTATCGAGTCAGATGATATCAAAGAAGGTTATTCGAATGTCTTAGAATCATTTTCAACAGTAACTGATGTTCGACAATTTTATCAAGTAAACAAAGATTTCTTAAATATATAGAAAAACTATCTTTACCTATAGTTTCTTCAATCTACTTCTGGAATAAAATATTGGAATTTCTTTATTGATTCTATACGTTTACTTCGATCGCAATCGAATCGTATCGATATTTCACATTTAAATTTTATCTATAAATATTATTCTCAACAGCAAGAATTCCGTTCGATTACCGATACAGTTTGCTTTCAAATGGCTATCAGTGCAATGTATCAATTACGTACATATTGGTTACCTCGTTATCTTGGTCAACAATCGAAAATAAATCCTTCTACAATCCAACCAGTTCTGAATCCAGTTGAAAATAAGAGTATTACAACACTTTCAAATCATTCATCTCATTCTAATTCAACAATAAATGAACCTGAATTAATTAAATATACTCTTGATAATATTTCATATCTTAATTATAATCCTCAACAATATATACTCATTGAACCATCCAAAGAACATGACTTTCTACAAGATATCGAAGCGGATATTAATATAAAATTTGAAAATACATCTTCTGATCGTTCAATTGAAGACTATGCGACAGATGCTAATCTCGAATTATTCTATCGTATACTTGTTTCAGACATGTTAGCTGGATTTCCATTTTCTGACTACATCTCTCAAACAATTCCACTTCAAAATTGTATTCGTTTTCTTACTGATGCAGAAATTCTATTATCTATTCCTTCCGGAAATTTTCAAGAAAAAATTCTTCGGCAATTTATCTCACGATACCTTGAAGTAACAGCTACCGATGAATTACCTATGCAAATCTTTGATAATATCGATGAACAAAAAATTGAATTGATTAAAGAATTACTAAACAAAAACAATCATGAATATTCTCTTCTAGGGAAAATTTTATTAAAAATTACAAAAGTAAAAACTATTTTTCTTTTAAAATATATAAACATAATTTTATTCAGTTTTTAATTCCACATTTTCTTAATTATATTAAATTCGATCGACTTCGTTTTCTTCTTCAAGTATATTCTATGACTTTAAACAGAAATCATCTCATCGATGAACTTCATCATCTTGTACCTCTGGTTAAATTCGAAACACTGCTATCAGATAAAACTACGAATGAAAAACAGACAAATTCTAATGAAATAAATATTCAAAATTGTAGTGGACAACCCATTGATTTTCTACATCCTACTACAACTGAAAACTTAATTAATACTGACGAACAATATGAATTTCGATCAGGTGAACGATTTCCTCCATTGACTGATGATGAACTTGAACAAGAATTACAACAATTCTGTCCAAAATTTAAAGGGAAAGATATTAAAACTATCCTTGGTAAATCATTTCATGCACCAATTCTTTCTCATCAAGTAAATGATTTTACATACGAAATCGATCGTTATATAACAAATTTAATGAATGAAAGTCTTAATCTTTTACAAACAGATAGTATTTCAACTTCTATAGCATTTCCACAACGAATTACGAATGATATATCTTCTCATACAGAAATGAAATATCTTTCATTAATTGGTTCGTATTTTATTAATTCACCTAATGTACCTTCTCATCTTGAAACTAAATCGATTCATCAACAATTTCATGAATCATTTTATTTTTCACCAAAAGATAAAAGTAATGAAGTTAAAAATACTAGAAATGAAACATTTTATTCTGAAAAAATTGATCAAGAAAAATTATTTACATTTATTCAAAATGAAATCAATAATTCTCAATGGCCTTTACATGAATATATTGGTATGAAAGGACAACGAGCCTGGCGAGCATTAAAATTAGCAGCAGATATATCAAATTTTAATAATGAATTTATATTAAACTATCATCATGATTTCGATTGGATATCAAATGAATATGATTTAGGTTCATTTAATGAAAGAAATTATTTAATTATACGAGATTTCGAAAGACGTATCGAACAACAAAAATATTCGATTAGCAAAGACAGCTGTTAGAATAATCATTAGTAATACAGTTCCTATTATACACAACCAATATTTCTCTTTAACAAACTATGACATCTAATCAAATAATTATCAAGAGAAAAGAGGAAAAAAATCACGAGTGACATTTAGAAATTCTCTTCTGCATGATTGCATCTCGTCTTTTTTTAATAGAACAGACGGATTGCTAAACAATATGATTATCTTTATCTAGAAGAATCAATTCTGCTTGATCAAAAAAAAAGAAAAAAGATGCTTCAATGATTTTCATCATACATGTGTTTAATAAATCTTATACCAGTTCGAATTTTGTTCGTAAAACAAATATTTGACTTAATTATATGAAAAACTTGAAAATAATAAATTCTTTATATTATCATTTGTAGACAAAAAACAAAACAACAACAACAATAATAATGACAAACAAACACATTTTTTAACACAAAGTTTCTGTATAGTTTTGATTTTGTACATTCATATCATTCGAATAAATATCAAAATAATTTGGATTACTCCATTGTGATGTATGAGGAAAATATTGTGCAACTTCAAGATCACATGGATCATCAGATGGTGGTACTTGTTCATAAATATTATATGTTGGACGTTGATAAAATTGTTTTGGTTTTACTTTTTGTCCAATAGGTTTAAATGCACTAGGTTTATTACTTATAACATCACTTAATGAAACATAATTTGATCGATTATAATCATAATTTTTATTTGTATATCGATATGGATAATAATTTTGACAAGATGATGACGATGTTTCAACAGGATAATAATGATGACGACGAAGATTATAATTATTATTATTATTTGTATTTTCAAAATTAGCCATTGTAGCTAAACGACGATATGATGATGAATATTGCTGTGAATTATTGACTGTTGAATATTGATATGAAGGTTGATGAGAATAACATTCATTTATTGAAGTATAATTTTTATGTTGTTGAGGTGTTGTTATTTTTATTTGATTATTATTATGTAATGGATGTACATATATAGAATAAACCTATTGTTTTTGAAGAAAAAATATTTATAATTAGAAGAATAGTATGTATTTTTACCGGTTCAGTATGTGAGTTTTGTTTATAGACAGATGATAGATAATGAGGTTTTTGATTACATATCGAATTTTGTTTATTTGTTAATGCATAATTATCTTCTGACAAGTGAGATAATGGTGTTGTTGATGTTGCTTTACTACATGTTGTAATCGTAGATATAGGTGCTTGTGATGTTGACGATAATGATGATGAAAGTGATTTTGAAACTAATTTAGATTTTGCACGTTCATAGTGTCGACGTATAAAACTAGATATACGTGAAAGATTTTTATTGGGTAAAGATTTTTCATAAGTAGAATTTGTTGTTGTTGTGACTAAAACCGTTCTTTTTTGTACTTGTGAAGATGAAGAAAATTTATCAAATGTAAGAGGAAGAATTTCATGAATTGATTGTGGAGATTCATTAGCTGATATTGCTGATGATAAATCACTATGATAACCACTTGAACTGGTCGTTTGCGGAGATATACGGCGAGTATCAGTCATTGAAAGATTACCATTCGAACGCATTATTCGTGACGAACGTGATAATGGTGTTATTGGAAGTGATGTTAGAAGACAATCAAGACTTGCCCAAGCTAAAAGAAAAATAAATATACAATTAAAAAAGAAATATTTAGTTATAATCAAGGTCTACTATTTTCTTTTTGGGTGTCATATTGACATGAACGACAAAAAATTTTTTTTCTTCATTCGTAAGAACAACATTTCAGTTTCTGTTCTTTTCTTTATATACAATATACAATCTTTTGTTGATGATTGACGACGATAAATTTTTTTTAAGAGAAGCACACAATCTGTTGTCATACAAAGACGACTAGGAAGAATAAAACACATACACGCACACAGATATGAATTGGGTATACTTGACCAGAGAAAGAGAGAGATGAAGAAGAAGAAGACGAAGAAGAAAAAGATAGATGCAGTAAGCATCATGGGGAACAATTAGTGTGATAAGTGGCCTCCACATACACATGTATATGCATACGACTCTTAAGAGCAATGCCTAATTTGTGTGCGCGCAATGAAGTAAAAGAGGATGCCGCGATGCCATATATAAAAATACATACAATCAATGACACAAGTGTATTCAGTGATGATCGTAAGGCGGCGACTATAATCAGTTACTCATAGATATTATTGATGATGAGGATGATGTAACAGACTTATTGATATATTCAAAAAAAGTGGCTATAATAATACAATCTTCATATATATGTCTATGTATGTATATATGTATATATGGCATGGCAACGATAAAATGTCTAGCATCACTTCAAATCAATGCATACAATGTATCAATCTAATATATAAAAAAAAAGAACAAAAAGTATCGTTTGATCATATACATATGCATGCATTTATCATGAATAAGCCAAGCAAAAGCTGTAAAGCTTCATTATTATTTTCCAATCGAATGAACGAGAAAATATGCAGGCGGAGAAAAAAAATCGGAGAAATATTCTATATGATTATTGATTCAATTCAATTCTCTGTTTCTCTTTCTCGCTCTCTGTTCCTCTCTCTCTTCATTTGATTTAGACGGCATTCTTCAGACTCAACACATTTTCTTCTTTCATTTCAAGTATTGTATTTGACCATAGTAACAGACAGTAGCAGCAGCTATACAAGAGACATACTTACAAAAAAAATCATTATCATTATTCACTAGACAGAACCATATACTAGCACTATTCGTTATAAGAGTGTCAATCTCTTCTATATACTTTTATTTATATGAGTGTGTATATGGGATTGTCGCGACGATGTCGATATTATGATAACAAACTACATACCGCATATTCGACAATTACCTTTTGAGTTATGGTGAGAATGCTGTTGAGTACGTAGCAGCTGTTTCATCTCTTGACTGTCTGGTGTGAATGTCTTTCAAATCAAACTAGGGTACTGTCTTTCTTTTTTTCGTCTTTATACCTTTAAGCATTGAACAATGAATGTACAACA